CATGACTTATCATTAAAATAATATATATATATATATATATATATATATATATATATATATATATATATACTTAAAACCACAAATTACATCAAAAGAAAGAAATGACAAAAAATAATAATAATAATAATCTGCATCTTTTTCTGAAATAGAGGAAATATATTGAACCGAACCAATTCGTTTCCAAATAGCGTTTCTGAGTCGCCACAAATCTCTCTCCTTCAGACTCCTCCCGATAGCGACGCCCCTCTGGTCCTCGCCAAGTACAAATGCGGCGGCAGTCCAAAGTACTCCTCCTCCTCCGCTAACGCTGCATTATAGTCGCTGTCTTGTCGGGCTCGCTGATCCTTCTGTTACGCCAGGCCCAGGATCTTCCTCCAATCCGGTATCTTCATCGGCACCGACTTCGCACGCACCGCGTCACCGTCACCTGCTCAACCACGCCGCCATTCGGTAGTACCGTCGTCGACCACCTCGTCTCGGACACTACTGCAACCTTGTTATCACAGCCGACCCAACAATCCTCGGATTCATCAAACTCGAATTGAAGGTCAGAGAATATCGGCCTGAAGCTGATCTCAGAAGCCATTGATATATGGAACTAGCTAGAATGCAGAAGAAGATGATATATAGATGATGCTTATGTATGTTTATTTAGGGAATATGCTATTTATATATAGTTGTTAGAACGGATAAGTTACTACGAATGCTTCTATCTACTACTCCTGCTAATTGTGAGTCTTAATCAATTTTCAGTGAAAAAAAATTAAATTAAGGAGGTATTTTTAATTTTGTAATTATCAAATTACTTTAAACACGATTCTAACTTACTTATTTCATTATTTCCTTTCTTCAAGTTTGGCATGGAATAGTGATGCTTTCCATCGCCAGATATCATGTCAGTTAAGATGCATGTATTCCCTAAACCTTCTCATAGTCTACTAATTACTCATACGTTTGGTTTTTTAGTGCATTTTTTTTGGTTGTGTTGTGTGCATTGTAAGTTTTGTTTTTTTTTTAGTCACCGGCAGCAAGTAAGTTTTAAAATTTATTTTTTCTCGTATGTTAGTCTGATGTGCTTTTTTTTTTTTTTCAATTGTTTGGTCCAGTCTGTGCATTGTTTAGGTGGGATGTGTGAATTTGATTGTCTATGTGTGCATTCTTATGGTGTTGGGTTCCGATGGAGTGGTTGTGATGCACAAATAAATACATGTCATCCATTGCAGGGACGGAGGGAGAGGGGGCAGGGGCAGCTACCCCCACACCAAAAATTATACAGCACCAAAACGACGTCGTTTTGGGGCTGTATTATATATATAATTTTTTTTTTCTTATTTTACCTAATACTGTAATACGTAGCAGACTGATAGATAGCAAGATCTGCTTCTCTAGCTCTCGTCTCGCTTCTCTGGGGTCAATAAGAACACCGGCGTACCGCATCCGGCAACAATGCCTCAGCCCTCTCGTGAGTCTCGTCTGAGTCGTCTCCTTTCAGTAGTCAGATTCTTATTTTTGCCCTAATTTCTCTAATTTCCTAAATTACTCTAATTTTATTTTGATCAATTTAATGTATGTTGAATACTTGAATACAGAATACATGAATTTGTTCATCAAATTATGAATTATCAATTATGATTATGAATGTGAATTGTGAGTTGCTGGTGGTGAGTTTAGGGACTAGTGAGGCAGTGAATGGGTAGTATTTCTATTAGTTTTGATTTTTGAATATATAATTCAATTGATTATTTGATTTATGAATTATGATGAATTTCTATTAGTTTTGAATACATGGTTTTAGACTTTTCCTAATTTTGTGAATTATGAAGCAGTGAACAGACAGTGAATACATGAGTAATGAGTTTATCAGTTTACAGTTTAGTGGAGGCAGTGAAATGTTTTTAAACTTTTTCTAATTTTATTTTTGCCCTAATTTCCCTAAATTTTATTTTATTGATTCAGTTATGGAAAAATTTTAGAAAAGAAAATCAAATTGTAGGATTCATCTAGTCAAAGTAGTCGCGAAATGTCAAGTACATGATCTCGTATTAACGTGCATTTGCTTCTTCGCCCCTCATTAGAAATCCTGACTCCGTCCCTGATCCCATGTAGAATTAATTTAAATGGATGATAAAATTTACGAATAAATAAAATATATCACAAAAGCACTTGAATGCTTTGAAGAGAATTTAGATTACTTGAGCACTTGAACTTGCTTAGATTGATTACAGATGAGGCCCCCTTGAGGGCATTTATACTCATTCCACCTCCTCAATGGAGGTGGAGATCTAGTTGATGCTACAGCTAAGATTTGTTCTTTAAAATCCTCCAAAACTCTCTACACAACCAAGATGATTCTATAATGTTCTAGAATATTCTAAGTATCTCTACATCTTCGAATGTTATCTACATGCTTCCAAACTATTCTACAAGCTATGGGATAATATATACAAGTGCTAGAAAATTATAGAGTGGTGTAGCAAACCTCGAAATCTCGTACGAATGCTGTCCGGGTGCTACATTCTCCCCCACCTAATTTGGCGACGCCCTCGTCGCCTTGTATGCTTCCAAGCGGTCTTGAAATTGCCACAAGTCTTCCTCCGGCTCCCATGATACTTTGAACTCGGGAAATCCCTTCCATTTAATGAGGTAGTGCGTTTGAGGTGGAATTCCCCTTTTTACGAACTAACTTTGATGCGAGCACCTCCTCAATGTCTTGATCAAATGACTTCGTTACCACATGTGGTGCTCTTTGAAATAACCCTCGGCTTGGGTCTTCCATGTCTTTATGATACAGCTTAAGCATGCTCACATGAAAAAAGAAATGCATGTCATCCCATGTAGAATAAATGTACAAGGATATAAAATGTACAAGGTCCGGTGTGTGCATTGTTTAGGTGGTTTCTGTGCATTTTGTTGTATTTTTATGTGTATTCTTATGGTGTTGGATTCCGATAGAGTAGTTGTGATGCACAAATAAATGTACAACATCCCATGTAGAATAAATGTACAGGGATGATAAAATGCTAGACCTTCGCAACTTGTGGGTTCAAATTACGCTTACTAGAAGGCACATACAAAGTGTACCTTCAAGCTTAAGGCGTCAAAGTCTCGAATTCTATTGTTCCAAGATGGACACAACCTGTACACACAAAAGCATATCAAACTATATATGGACGTAGCCCCTCAAGATCTATGGACTCCGGATGAAATTACTGCAAACAAAAACAATAACAAAGCCTTGAATACAATTATGGGCAGTTTGGACGAAAATCAATTAGCTCTCGTTGCTGGTTGTATTCAAGCCAAGGAAGCTTGGGATATTCTTGAGTAATTATATGAAGAGGATACTTTAGTAAAGCAATCTAAATTGCAACAAATTCACACGTTTGAAGAACTCAGGATGCCTGAAGAAGAAATTATTGTTTAGTTTAAAACCCGAGTTCAAAAATTGAAAAAAATGTTGTTTTGGGTGAACCCTTCCCACAAGATATGCTTGTTCATAAAATTATTCGCTCATTTCCATCAAGATTTTAGGATGAAGGTTACTGCCATACAGGAAAATGTTGGTTAGGAGAAAAATATCGTGGCAGAACTTATGAGTAATCTTCAAACATACGAGATGTAAGGAAAATCTATAGCATTTCTTGCCGATGGTGGAGAATTAAAATCTGACCCCGAAGAAATGGATGAGGAAACAATCGCCTTAATTTCTAAGAATTTCTGCAAGATATATTTTCAAGTAGTTCAATTGTAGAAATCGTGGAGGCAACCGTCAGACAACCCGAAATAACGGATCCACAAATTCAATTTCCAAACTTCATGCAAAATCTGGAGGTCAAAATACTTCAAGAACTCAAACTTAGACTAGTCAATCTGGGAATCAATCTCGTAATAATCAATCACACGTTTGGAAAACAAGTCTAAAGGCAAAGGAATACAATGCAAGGAATGTGAAAGTTATGGTCACATTCAAGTTGAGTGTGCTACCTATTTGAAATGTTAAACAAATCTATGAAAGCATCAACTTGGAGTGATGATGAAACAGTTGAAGAAAACTTAATTGGATGCTAACAAAGAAATCTCTGGAAATTTTGTTGAATTATTCACCGAAAATGTTAAACAAATCACAGGCCTGAACCGAAGAGCGATTCTGATCATGAAGAGGGTGATAAATTGCCCTATGAAGAACTGAAAAAATCTTATATCCAGCTCTACAAGAAATGGGAACTACTCTTGAAGACTCATGACACAAGCTCAACTAAGAATAAGAATGATGTGCTTGAAAAGAACACTATCATCCTGAAGAATCAATGTGCTGAAAAGGACAAATTAAAGCACTAGCAGACTCTATGTCAAAAGTAGCACAACTAACAATCAAACTTGACACTCTTAAAATTAAGAGTTTAACATATTAATTTTAAAATTTTAAAAATTTTAATTGAGCTTATTTAATAAATTTGATAGCTTAAAATTTTAGAGTTAAAGCAACAAATTTTAATCCAATAAAAAAAATACCTTATGAAAAGTGGCCTAAAATTTAATAAGTTAGTTGAACCAATTGACGGTAATTTTTTACCGGTGAATCATAAATAAAATGTACATTTTTTAATATATTAAATATACATTATTTATGTACTAAATGTATATTATTTGATAATATATAAAATATGAAAATAATGTATCTATCATACTTAAATAATGTCTCTTTTATTCATAATTTACACAATTATGTAGAGTCATGGTCCATTAACAATTGTGTAACACGTGTCATTGATACCAACGCATGATTACGCGGCTTCAATTCATTGAGCTAGGTTACGCTGAACAGGTCTCCTGAAGGGTGAAGGTGCCATTTCAATTCCTCTGGGCTGCACCGCAACTTCCACGTTGTTTCTTTGTAAACCGACCAGAGCCCCCACACCATTAAAATTTAAAACGAAAAAGAATTGGAATACCAATTTCACACGTCCACTCCACCTTATAAAACCCACCCCACTTGCCCACTTCAGCCCAGCCATCACTCTGCCTTCAAGATTTTCCTCTTTCAATCAGATTATTTTCAGGGAATTGAATGTCAAAGCTTCTATCAGATCTGCAATGGCGAAGACTACTGGGCACTTGACTACTTCCAGAAGGGTTTACGAGGTTGTTCCAATGGTTGTCATCACACCCAACAGGACTTCGGTGTCTCCTAGGTTGGAAACCATTCTTGAAGAGGATCATATTCACAATCATTTCTGTGATTCGGGTTCACAGGTTAATTGCAGTACTGCGCTTTGCCTAAGAGGAGCCCTTAGTACGTTGAAACTCAATTAGTATATATAGTTCCATCAGATTTTAGTTTGTTTTTGTTTTTGTTTTCCCATTGAGGGCGAAGACGACTATGTAAGATCATATCCTTCCGTCAAAGGGATTCGATTCATTTTGTACTATAATGTTTTCTTTTTATTATTTTCGGACATTAATATTTGATTATCATTGTGACCACAAAAAAAAAAAAAAAAAAAAAAAAAGTTTAATTTGAGTTTTATGTATTTATGAATTATCCTAGCAAAAAGTTGAAGAATCCCACTTGCTATATTTTTTGTTTTGCAAAATCCATAGAAAATATACGTGTGATGTTCAATCAATCATTATAGTATTATACCATGATCCTCTTTACAAGGTTTACCACGAAATAAAATATATTTTTTAATATATTAGATGTTCATTTTTAATTGAATTTTTATTTTTTGGAATTATTTAGTATATTAAAAATAAAGATTTATTCATAGCAAATATTGAGATGTGAATTATAGTCCACAATAGAATTTGACATGTTAAAGGCAAATTATATCATGGATTCGAATTTACATTGCATTGTGGATCTGACTTTAAAATAACCTTCAGATTTTGTATCTGCTATTAACACGTTCTGTACATACAATTAATCCTTTATTAATTGTAAACACATAAGATGTTAGTTCACCGCAGACAGACACATAATTTTTTGATCAGAATTTACAATGTAATATGAATCTTGGTCTATGGTATAACAATTGATCACATATTAAATGGGTTGGACATCTCATATCATTAAGGGTGAATCTGAAAACTTGAAAATAACTTTAAGTAGTCATTTTCTATATTTTTTTTAATGTTTGACTATATAATTAAGTCAATAAAATTACTTGTCAAAGAAAAAATGACTTGTTACAGTAATTATGGTTAAAAGAAAAAATGACTTGTTTTAGTAACTATTGTCAAAGAAAAAATGACTTGTTCATATTTCAACCTAACACTCATAATCTAACTTTAGTTAAAATATGCATTGAATTTGGTTGGCAAATTATGCGGTGGACCCGCGTCCAAAACGGTGTCGTTTTGCTTTAAAACAACGCTGTTTGAATTAAAAAATAAAAAATAAAAAAATTGCTTCATTCCTTGCCGTTAACTTGTCGTTTGTCTTCAGATCGAATTCATTCCTCTATAATAACACATTTTTTAACTCTATATTTACAATTTTAGAACTGAATTCTCACAATTTTAGATCTCAATATACAAAATTACAGAACTCAATATTCACAATTGCAGAACTCACCAGGACTATGTGGTGTAATGGTATCCAGATTGGACTTCCATTTGGAAGGTTGTGAGTTCGAGCTTTAATGGAGGCGTTATTGGCTCTTTGTGTTTCAGTAGGTTGAGAAAGTATATGGACAATTGCAGAACTCTATATTCACAATTATGGAAAAACTGCTAATTGGGATAAATATTAGGACTTAAATCTCTTTATTCGTGCTCAAATAAGGATCTTAATTTGAAAATGACGAAACTACCCTTAATAATTTGATATTTCTCGTAGGGCTAAAATTGGTATTTGCTCTATAGTCATATAATTTTATAACACTAATATCTATGATAATACTTTACCTACTAGGCATAAATACATAAATAAATAAATAAATAAATAAATATATATATATATATATATATATATATATATATATATATATATATATATAAGTACTACTGACTCTGTTACAGTATAGTATATGTTCAATTCATAACTACTTTTCTCAACCTACAAAAGCACTCGTACCCACTCGGGCTTAAACTCATGACTTCCTATCTGGGGAGCGATGCCACTGGACCACGGCAATTTATATCGTGCACCAGGATGCACATTGCATTGTGCACCCTGGTGCAAAACGACATCGTTTTATACTTCTTTTTTTTTTTTTTTTAGAAATTCCGCTTTCCGTGTGTCGGCTGTTAACTTCTTTAAAAAAATCTCATGTTTCAAAAATGTACATAATTGTATAACAGAATGTACATAATTGTATAACAGAATGTACGTAATTGTATAACATAATATACATAATGGTATAACATAATGTACATAATTATATAACAAAATACACATACACTCTGTCGCGTCAATTTCTCACACAATTTAACAAAACGACGTCATTTTGGGAGCCATGGGACGCACAATACTATGTGCGCCGTGGTGCACGATATAACGATTGCTGGACCACAAGGTCATTGGCATATTGATCTTGGCATATATAATAGCTTATTAATTGGATTGTATTCTACATACACTTAGTTGTTTTACTCTATTTTTAACAGAGTAATCCCTTATCGTGACATTTATCGAATGAAATGCCTCAATAATTGTTATTCTTTTATTATTACTCCGTATTATTTTACGGAGTATTAAAAGATTAGAAATATTATATTAAAACTGTTTGAATTATGAAATTCTCTAGTGGTGATCAAAAAATTAGACAATATTAAAGATCACACTAATATAGTAACATTTTTGGGATGAGATTTGAGTTAACTGACATTATTATATTCTAGAAGAAAATTTATTGAAAGACTAATTTGTACTTATTGGAGATCGCTCATCCTAAATTGCGTGTCTTTTTTTGAAACCTTCCTCAATGATCTACAACATCGCTTTTCTTTTCATATGTATCGTAAACACGACTCAACCAAGATTTGTATAATTTCGTCTAAATTTAGTATTCCATTGTATTGAAAAATAACAGTACATTTTAATTTTAAAGTCTTTAAATTATTGTATTTTTTTTATTTTTAGTTCTTGATTTCAAAATTGATAAAATTTGAAACATATTGCCTCCGTGAATTGAACTCATAACCTTTTATTTGAGAACTACTTCGTGCCACTAGACTACTAGACCACAAGACCATTTGCTTCATATGAAGAATATAACACACACATATATGAGTGAAAATTCCAATCCCTCTGTTTTGTTTTGCTTTTGGAAACAAGTTTTTGTTTTTGAGGATATGATGCAAAAAGTGAGATAAAAAAAAAAAAAAAGAAAAATGAAGTTTGCACACTACCCGCACGGTTACTTCACTATAAAGTCTTGATCTTTTTAATGCGAAATTACATCAAAAGAAAGAAATGCCAAAAACATATTGAACCGACAACCTCAATCTTCGAAGCCAATTCGTTTCCAAATAGCATTTCTGAGTCGCCACAAATCTCTCCCCTTCAGACTCCTCCCGATAGCGACGCCCATCTGGTCCTCGCCAAGTACAAATGCGGCGGCAGTCCAAAGTACTCCTCCTCCACTGCTCACACTGCATTATAATCGCTGTCTTGTCGGGCTTGCTGATCCTTCTGTTACGCCAGGCCCAGATCCTCCTCCAATCCGGTATCTTCATCCGCACGGACTTCGCAACCACCGCGTCACCGCCACCAGCTCAACCACGCTACTTCCACCGCCATTCGGTAGTACCGTCGTCGACCACCTCGTCTCGGACACTACTGCAACCTTGTCATCACCGCGGACCCAACAATCCTCGGATTCATCAAACTCGAATTGAAGGTCAGAGAACATCGGCTTGAAGCTTATCTCAGAAGCCATTGATATATGGAACTAGCTAGAATGAAGAAGAAGAAGATGATATATAGATGATGGTGATGTATGTTTATTTAGGGAATATGCTATTTATATATATAGTTGTCAGAACCAATAAGTTACTACGAATGCTTCTATCTACTCGTGCTAATTGTGAGTCTTAATCAATTTTTAGTGAAAAAGAATTAAATTAAAGAAGCATTTTTTATTTTGTAATTATCAAATTACTTTGTACACGATTCTCACTTACTTATCTCATTATTTTCCGTCTTCAAGTTTGGCATGGAATAGTGATGCTTTTCATCCGCCAGATATCATGCAAGCTAAAATGCATGTATTCCCTAAACCTTCTCATAGTCTACTAATTACTCATCATAGGTTTGGTTTTTTAGTGCATTTTTTTGTTGTGTTTTGTGCATCGTAAGTTTTGTTTTTTTTTTAGTCACCGGCCCCAAGTAAGTTTTAAAATTTCTTTTTCTCGTGTGTTAGTCTGATGTGCTTTTATTTATTTATTTATTTTTCATTTGTTTGGTCTAGTGTGTGCATTGTTTTGGTGGCATGTGCGAATTTGGTTGTCTTTGTGTGCATTCTTATGGTGTTGGGTTCCAGTGGATTGGTCGTGATGCACAAATAAATGCATGTCATCCAATGTAGAATTAATATACATGGATGATAAAAATTACGAATAAATAAAATATATTGCAAAAGCACATGAATGTTGTGAAGAGAATTTAGATTATTTGAACACTTGAACTTGCTTGGATTGATTTCAAATGAGCCCCTTAAAGGGCATTTATACTCATTCCACCTCTAGTGGCGGACCTACTGCCCAAAATTAGACAACCTCAAAACGACGTCGTTTTGGACGGTTATATATATAACTATTTTTTTTTTCATTTGTTATGCTAGACAGAGACGGCTCTCATCTTTTTCTCTCTGCGCGCCTCGCCTCTGCTCTCGGCCTCTTGCGTCTGCGCCTGCATCGCCACCGGCTACCGCTCGCGACCACCAGTCCACCAGACGGCGCCTCTTCATCTCCAGTCACCATCGGCCACCGTTGTTTGCTTAATTTCAATAATTTGTTCAATAATTCAATAAGCAACTTCTCTAATTTTTTGTTTGCCCTAATTTCTTTAATTTCCTTAATCTTGTTTTTGCCTAATTTCTTTAATTTCCTTAATCTTGTTTTTGTCCTAATTTCTTAAATTTCCCTAATTATGGTTCTACCCTAATTTTGTTTGTTGGCTTTGTTGCTGGTTTAATTTATGTAATTATGTGATGCGATTGATGCCGTGAATGATCGTGATGGACTGATTTATGCTTATTATACTTATTTGGAAATTGAAATTCTTTGAATTGTGAATCTGTGATTTAGCTATGGTGATTTATGCTTATTTGGAAATTGGAATTCTGTGAATGTGAATCTGTGATTTAGGCATTTAGCTATGGTGTTCATAAAAAAATGAGGAATTGAATATGATACTATGCATATATGATATATTGGTAATCTGTGTTGAAAGTTTTTGCTTATGTAATATGAGGAATTGAATATGATACTATGCATATCTGGTCGTGATGGACTGATTTATGCATAATGTATTGCTTAATTTTTGCTTATGTAATTATTTTAGTTAGAACTTAGAAACTGAAATAACATTTATAGAAATCAACTTTTGAGGATTTATCTAGGTAGTCACGAAGTGTCAAGTACAAGGCCTTGTATTGAGGAGTAGAGGAGTATTATCTCGTAGTTTATCATAAATCTTGTATTGTAATTTTATAATTTATTTTGTATTTTAATAATTTTATTTGTATTTGATATTTTGTATTTGAATCTTGTATTTGAACATTTTTAAATATTTTCCCTTTGCTTTTTCGCCCCCACTCAAGATAAATTATGGGTCCGCCACTGTCCACCTCCTCAATGGAGGGGGGAGATCTATTTGATACTGCAACTAAGATTTGTTCTCAAGAATCCTCCAAAACTCTCTACACAGCCAAGATGATTCCATAATGTTCTAGAATATTCTAAGTATCTCTACATCTTCTAATGTTATCTACATGCTTCCAAACTATTCTACAAGCTATATATGGGATGATATGTACGACTGCTAGAAAATTATAGAGTGGTGTAGCAAACCTCGGAATCTCGTACGAATGATGTCCGGGTGCTACATTCTCCCCCACCTAATTTGGCGACGCCCTCGTCGCCTTGTATGTTTCCAAGCGGTCTTGAAATTGCCACAAGTCTTCCTCCGGCTCCCATGATACTTTGAACTCGGGAAATCCCTTCCATTTAATGAGGTAGTGTGTTTGAGGTGGAACTCCCCTTTTACGAACTAACTTTGATGCGAGCACCTCGTCAATGTCTTGATCAAATGACTTCGTTACCACAGGTGGTGCTCTTTGAAATAACCCTCCGCTTGGGTCTTCCATATCTTTATGATACAGCTTAAGCATGCTCACATGAAAAAAAGAAATGAATGTCATCCCATGTAGAATAAATGTACAAGCATGATAAGATGTACAAGGTCCGGTGTGTGCATTGTTTAGGTGGCTTATGTGCATTTTGTTGTGTTTTTGTGTGTATTCTTATGGTGTTGGATTCCGATAGAGTAGTTGTGATGCACAAATAAATGCACCACATCCCATGTAGAATAAATGTACAGGGATGATAAAATGCTAGACCTTCGCAACTTGTGGGTTCAAATTACGCTTACTAGAAGGCACATACAAAGTGTACCTTCAAGCTTAAGGCGTCAAATTAAAGTCTAGAATTTATTCAAGCCAAGGAAGCTTAGGATATTCTGGAGGAATTATATGAAGGAGATACTTCAGTAAAGCAATCTAAATTCCAACAAGTTCACACCAAGTTTGAAGAACTTAGGATGCCTGAAGAGGAGACTATTGTTTAGTTTAAAACCCGAGTTCAAAAATTGAAAAAGTTGTTATTTTGGGTGAACCCTTCCCACAAGATAAGCTTGTTCATAAAATTATTCGCTCACTTCCATTAAAATTTAGGATGAAGGTTACTACCATACAGGAAAGTGTTGGTTAGGAGAAAAATACCGTTGCAAAACTTATGAGTAATCTTCAAACTTACGAGATGTAGATGTTCACCCAAGATCAGACATTCACAACACTAAGGGAAAATCTGTAGCATTTTTGGTGATGGTGGAGAATTAAAATCTGACCCCGAAGAAATGGATGAGGAAACAATCGCCTAAATTTCTAAGAATTTCTGCAAGTAGTTCAATTGTAGAAATCGTGGAAGCAAAGGTCAAACAACCCGAAATAATGGATCCACAAATTCAACTTCCAAACTGCATGCAAAATTCGGAGGTCAAAATACTTCAAGAACTCAAACTCAGACTAGTCAATCTGGGAATCAATCTCGTAATAATCAATCACACCTATGGAAAACAAGTCTAAAGGCAAAGGAATACAATGCAGTGAATGTGAAAGTTATGGTCACATTCAAGTTGAGTGTGCTACCTATTTGATCGAAATGTTAAACAAATCTATGAAAGCATCAACTTGGAATTATGATGAAATAGTTGAAGAAAACTTGAATGCTAACAAAGAAATCTTTGGAAATTTCATTGAATTATTCACCAAAACTGTCACAGAATTAGATCCTGAACCAGGGAGTTATTCTAATAATCATGAAGAGATTGATAAATTGCCCTATGAAAAACTGAAAAAAATCTTATATCCAGCTCTACAAGAAATGGGAACTACTCAGACTCATGACACAAGCTCAACTAAGAATAAGAATGATGTGCTTGAAAAGAACACTTTCATCCTAAAGAATCAATGTGGTGAAATGGACAAATTAAAGCACTAAGCAGACTCTGTCAAAAGTAGCACAACTAACAAGCAAACTTGACACTCTTAAAATATGAAAATAACGTATCTATCATATTTAAATAATGTACATTCACTACTAGAAATTATGAGATTTCCGACCACCTGAAAGTGATCTTAAATTAAGTCGAAAGCCTTGTTCCGACCACTTTTGGTATCCGGAAAAACCTTTGTTGCTATTTCCGACCACTTTTTGGTATCAACTTGATTTAAGATCACTTTTAAGTGGTCGGAAATTCCATAATTTCCAGTAGTGATTTAATCTACATACAGATAATATAACTTTTATTATATTATTATTATAATTATAATTGTCTCTTTCACATAATTATGTAGAGTCATGGTCCATTAACAATTATGTAACACGTGTCATTGATACCAACGTATGATTACGCGGCTTCAATTCATTGAGGTTACCACCACACACCTTCCACGTTGTTTCTTCGTAAACCGACCAGAGCCCCACACCATTAAATTTTAAAACTTTGGAAAAGAATTGAAATACCAATTTCACACGTCCATTCCACCTTATAAAAGTCACCCCACTTGGCCACTTCAGCCCAGCCATCACTCTGCCTTCAAGATTTTCCTCTTTCAATAAGATTATTTTCAGGGAATATCAAAGCTTCTATCAGATCAGATCTGCAATGGCGAAGACTACTGGGCAATCCAGAAGGGTTTACGAGGTTGTTCCAATGGTTGTCATCACACCCAACAGGACTTCGGTGTCTCCCAGGTTGGAAACCATTCTTGAAGAGGATCATATTCACAATCATTTTTGTGATTCGGGTTCACAGCTTAATTGCAGTACTGCGCTTTGCCTACGAGGAGCCCTTAGCCTTAGTACGTTGAAACTCAATTAGTATATATAGTTCCATCAGATTTTAGTTTGTTTTTGTTTTTGTTTTCCCATTGAGGGCGAAGACGACTATGTAAGATCATATCCTTCCGTCAAAGGGATTCGATTCATTTTGTACTATAATATTTTCTGTTTATGAATTTTATTATTCCCAGACATCAATATTTGATCATCTTCATTCCGTGATTAAATACAAAGAAAATTAGTGGCCACACAAAACTCCAATTTGAGTTTGATGCATTTATGAATTATCATAGCAAAGCCCCAAAGATAGATATATTTTGCGATTTGCCATCATAAATATACATGTAGGGATGTGGCACAAAGTAGCTCTTCCATGGGAGAGGTCATGGATTTGAGTCTCGGTGGGAGTTAATAGTGATAGTCTGATAGACGGAAAATTATGTTATGGTTCATGTAGCAACATCTCTTATTATTCAGTTTCAATCATTTGACAATATACACTCAATATATGAAACCGATTATTTAGTTACATTTTATACACAATATAGTATAGTGTTATTCAATTTCATTTTATACACACTATAGTTTCATTACAATACCACCAAAGTACATTCTAAGTAAACTACAATTTCATTTAACAATATACATTCAATATGTAAAACTTGCTATTCAATCTCATTTTGTGTAGAATGTAGTTTCATTATGGCACCACTAAAGTATCATTATTATTCAACTACAATTTCATTTGACAATCTACTCTCAATATGTGAGCATGGTTACCGTAGGCGCTAGTCGGGCGCCCGGGCCGCGCCTAAGCGGCCTAGGCGGGCGCCAAAAAAACAGTGGCAGACTTGCAGTTTGATAATTTTAATGAGGCTGTTTTCAATATTCAATCAAATAACACCTCCAAATAAATGAAATAATGATAATTCATAAGTCATAACATCAAAACAATATTAAAAATTAGAAGTACTTAAATATGAAATACTTAGATACTTCAACCATCCAAAGATTCAAACTATCAAACTAGTCTACAGATGTATATATGTCATATTATATATATATATATATATATATATATATATATATATATATATATATATATATATATATATATAGGGTCAGGTTCCTGTGAGGTCAAGTTTTCCCATGCGGTCAGTGCGGCATACACCATTAGGTATGCATAAATGCACCACACAGTGTTCGTAAATACACTATATGTGCGGTGTATTTTTTTTTTTGTGATGCATTTTCTAACATTTCATTCTGGTGTATTTTCCAACATTGTATGGTGCATTTATGCATACCTAATGGTGTATGCCGCACTGACCGCACGGGAAGACCTGACCTCACATGAACCAAAATATATATATATATATATATATATATATATATATATATATATATATATATATATATATATATATATATATATATGAGTGACCCATATAAGTTTTGTTCATCCAAGGATACAGGCCGGCCAGCGAGAGCCAGATCCTCCACAAGTAACTGCGCTCGGCCGAGGTATTCTCCCGGCGTGCTATCTCCTTGACACAAGGACTGGAATTGCGCAAGCAAATTTAGACATCTCGCCCGTGTGGATGACCCTAGAGCAACGGTAAAGGATGACCATACATCATGCGAGGTACTGCGCCCCACAGCGAGGTATAAAACCTCATCGGACATGGAAGAGATTAATAAGGACAGGATCGATTGATCCTGCTGTTCCCATAACGCAAGCGCCGGATTTGGGGAAGTGGTGACGGTGGTGCCGCCCGAGCCTGCGTCGCTGGTGGTGGCCGGTGCAGTCACGGTTGCCGGAGGACACGGTGTATCGCCCGTGACAAACCCGAGAAGGCCTTGCCCTCGGAGAAAAGGTACCAATTGGGTACGTCAGAACAGGTAATTTTTAGTGGTGAGTTTCATTGACACAAAGTGATGTGCCGTAGATAATGTGTTTGGGGTGGCCGGATAAGAGAGAGTAGCGGCCGTAACTGTTCTTTCACTGGAATTCGTCGACATCGTGAGAGGAGAGGAGAGAGAAAGTCTACCTGGCTAGCTGATACCAGATGAGTGAATGTTTTACGTTAATCCAAACTCAGATTGTTACAGAGAGTTACAAAAGAGATAGAAGCCTATCTAACTAACCTCACATAATAGGTGTAGGTTACAAGACTAAATCAACTCTATAAGTACAAGACTAATATAACATATAATTATACAAATAAATTAACACTACTAACAATATATATATATATATATATATATATATATATATATATATATATATATATATATATATTGAAAAAACTTAGTCAGGCCGAGCTGATCGAGTTAACTCGATCGAAATGGATGAGTTAACTCGACTAAGTTAGACGCTAAGCATCTGCCTAGGCGGCCAAATCGGCCGAGTTAGGCGCTAGGCGGTCAGTCACCTAGGAGGGAAATCGTCACGGTCTAAGGACGCCTAGACCAAATTTTGCAACAGTGTATGTGCGACATGTTATTTAGTTTCATTTTATACACACTGTAGTTTCATTACAACATAATTAAAGTATCATTCTAGTTCAATTACAGTTTCATTTGACAATATACAATTAATATGTGATGTCTATATATTATGCAATTTCATTTTATACCCACTGTAATTTTATTATAACATTAATTTAAAAAAAAATGCGTTGTAATAGACGTAATGGATGCTTTTTTTTTAATTAAAAGAAACACTATCATTTTGACCATGATGTACTGTATAATGATTGGTAAATTAATTTAGAATTAGATTTGCACACAAATTATGCCGTGCAACCGAATGCACATTGTAAGGTGCATACGGTTGTAAAACGGCGCCGTTTTTGTTAAAAAAAAAACGTGCGTCCCACTTAAAGAAGAAATCAGGTTCGATTCCCGACAATAACATTTTTATATATCCAGAAATTCATAACTATATATCCAGAAATCCATAACTATATATCCACAAATTCATAACTATATATCCACAGTGAATGAATGAATGAATGAAGTAAAAATTCACAATGAATGAAGTAAAAATCCACAATGAATGAACTAAATATCCACAATGAATGAACTAAATATCCACAATGATTGAACTAAATATCCACAATGATTGAACTATATATCCAGAAATTCATAACTATATATCCACAGTGAATGAATGAAGTAAATATTTACAATGAATGAACTAAATATCCACAATGAATGAACTAAATATCCATAAATTCATAACTATATATCCACGAATTTATAACTATATATCCAGAAATTCATAACTATATATCCACAATAATGCTATTGCCGAGAATCAAACCTGATTTTTTTTTTTAAAGTGAAACGTGCGTTTTTTATAAAAATGACATCGTTTTGTATCGTATGCACCATGCGCATGGTACATTCGGTTGCACAGCATAACTATTGAGATTTGCATCTCCCATCCAATACCTAGTGATGAGTGATGAATCATACATGGCCCAAGCTTAATAATTTCATCACTATGGGTCTCATTGCAAGTCTAATGACTTGAATCCATTCAAGTGGAAATCCAAATACCCAAATATTTAAAGTGATATGAATTATGAAATAAAACTTTAGCACAAACAGTAGATTCACACTTTGAGCCTAGATTGGAGCCCATGGTACGTGTTTTTTTTTTTTTTTTTTTGATTCTTTAAGTGGTAGTATCTGTTCTATACTTTCTCAAACATTTTCAGCCTCAAAAATCTAAGCCCCCACCACCGGAGTTGGAACCATTGAGCATCCACTTAAATGGATAACCGGGATGCCATCGTACTATATGATACGTGTTTAGATTGCTTTAATTTAATTTAAATTAGTATTTGCCAGATTTATAGTATTTTAGACCTAAATGCCTAATTAAACTTCTCCTAATCATTATTCTATGGACCATGATCAACACATTTATGTGAATCATAAATAAAGAAAAAAGTACATTTTTAATATACTAAAAATATATTATTTGTATACATAAATTACATTATTTAAAAATATTTTTTTATATATATATTATCAAATAATGTACATTTAGTACATAAATAATATACTTTTAATAGGTTAAAAATGTATATAACATTTATGTCCACACAATAATTTGCCAACTTCTCCATACCTGTTTTTTGGTGGATACTCCATACCTGTTTTAATTTTAGCCTCATAGGCCATTATTTTAATGCCTTCTAATCTAGAAAGGTAAGTGATAATATTCCTATTATTGGGGAGGGAGAATGAATTTGAGTGTGACTAAAGCTCAAATGACAAATGAGTTCTTTTTGTGGAAAAAATTCTAGAATAATCTAGATTCAATTCTCACAAGTGTGATGATTTTTCTTGGATCAGCTTTAGTGCCTCCTAGAGTGAATGGGGATTAATCGGGTGGACCTGAACAGTTAAACAGAGAAAGAAAGACTCAGACCAACTCGTGATTTATACATAAAACAAAAAAAATAATAAATAAAAGTCTTAATACTTATGTCTAATCCATGAACCAAACACATCCAAAATATACAGAGCTAACACTACCAGAGGCCATGGCGATTACACATTAGCTGTTTCAAGCTAAGGGCTGAAAGTGGGAAAAACAATGCTAGTTTTTGTGGAGTGTATCTTAACATCTCTGAGATCAGCCAGAATCCCAGGCCTGGAGATGTTCTTCATGTTTTCATCAATGGCAGCCTCATCGTGGTTGCTCAACATCTTGATCGCCGTCGACATTTTTGGTCGGAGCGTGGTGGTCTCTTGAACGCAAAGCAGGCCGGTCTTCAAGAACCGGCCGGCTTCTTCCGCCGGAAATTCTCCCTCCAGGAGAGGGTCCACTAGTTGCAATAGTTGGTCAGCTTTGTACATCTCCCATGCCTGCAATACCAACACAAGTGTATCATATGATGTTAATTAGGTCAATCAATCTATTATGCAGCTCAGCGCAGCTTTTGTTGACCCCTTTATTTATTTTTTAAATAGATCCAAATCCCACTTGCTTTTTTTTTTTTTTTTTCCCAGGATAAGACGAATCTAGTTCAGTTTCAATCAAATCTTATTCAGGTTAGTTCTTAATAAATACTGAATAAAAATTAAAATATTACACACTCTGTCTGATATTCGAATCTCTATTTAGCTATTTTCTCAAAAGTTAAATGAAAAATTATAATATAAAAGATAGCTAATTC